AACCTCTGCAACCTGCCTTGTGGAAATTAAACTACTTACTGCTCCCACCTGCCTGCCCTGCTACCTACCATCATTTTTGGATTCCTGGAAACAAAAGGTTGGAACCTCACTCGATCTCACACCTCTTGGACGCTTACCTGGCTAGCCTCCCCAGATTCCCATACTACAAATTCAGTATTTACCTTTCCCTAGCATAGCTCCATCCCCGCAGCTAATCTCTAGTCCCCGGGACCCTTCCCCCTTCTTTTCCGGGGAACTGGGCCATCCTTTGAGGACCTGGTCTCTCTCTTTCCCTCAGAATCGACATAAAGCTGAGAGAGAGGCCAAAAAGAAGCTACAAACTCCACAAAGCTTTGCTCTGCTCATTTCCAATTTCCATGTCTGCTATTCCACTTCCACTTCCACTTCAGCTACCACTTTGTCATCCTCTAAACCTCCCCCCGAACCCATGTAGATTGGTCACTTACTGGCTCTATCCGGAAGAGAGAGAAAGGCGCTTTTTATTAAGTGTTTATTAAGGAGCATCCGATCATTTCCTCACGAACTGACCGGTTCGACCAAATGATTCCCCCTGCTGTTAATTTCAGGGATCTGGGTGGGCGGATCCCTGACTAACTCCAAGCCCCGTTTGGTATTACCAATGACACGTGATTTTAATCATATTATTCATTGCCTTCATGCCCTCGTCGACTCTGGGTCGGAGCAGAACCTAATCAACACAGAGCTGGCCAAACAGTTAAAACTGCTGTTCGTTCCACTTGACCCACCCATACTCACCCCTACACTCAATAATCAGGTTTTTGCAGTAATCACTCACCAAACCAAACCCGTGTGCATAGTCACATCTGGAAACAATTGGGAACACTCATTCTTTACCTTATCCTCCCCTGAAACACCCCTAATCCTCAGTTATCTTTGGCTACGAAGGATTACAGGTTGAGTTTATTCTCCCTCACAAACCGTCTAACCTCAGCTCTACCCTCAGGAACCCCTGCAACAGCTCCTGTAGTCTCTTCTCCACTGGATCTCTTCTCTATTCTCCAGGAATATCAAGACCTTCAGGAGGTCTTCAGTAAGACTAAAGCACTTTCCATTCCACCCCACAGGCCTTGTTACTGCACCATTGACCTCCTTCCCAGTGCCCTGTTGCCTTCTAGCAGACTTGTCTTGGCCCGAGAGGAAGGCAACGGAGAAATATATCCAAGAGTCTTTGGCAGCCGGCATCATCCACTCGCCTCCTTCCCCGGTAGGTGCAGGTTTTTACTTGTTTGCCAAGAAGGATAAGACACAGTAGCTGTATAAACTGTAGATATTTGAATGAGATCACTGTACCCTCTGCCCTTGAACCCATTCATGGGGCCACCATCTTCAGTAAGCGTATTATTTACGCAATGCATACCATCTGCTCTGCATCCGAGAGGGAGACGAATGGAAGACTGCATTCAATACAACCCTAGGATATTTTGAGCATCTTGTTATGCCATTTGGCTTCACTAATGCTCTTGGAGTCTCCAGGCATTAGTAAACAATGTGTCGAGGGATTTCCTGAATATTTTTGTATTTGTCAACCTAAACGACATTCCGATTTCTCCAGAGGAGCACAGAGTCCATGTCTGTTCAGTACTGCAACGCCTCCTGGAAAATCGGTTATTTGTCAAAGCAGAAAAATGAGTTTGACTGTTCCTTAGTTATCTCGGTTATATCCTGGCAGGAGGACAGGTGACCACTGACCGTGCAAAGATTCAAGCCGTAAGCGAATTGTCCACTTCTTCATCAAAGAAACAGCTACAGCGGTTCCTCAGGTTCACCAACTTCTACCATCGCTTTATTCGGAATTACAGTTCGGTAGCTGCACAAGTAACCCCAAAGTCAGCGTCAGCACCGGATACATCCACGCAATCCAATGATCAGCTGGAGAGGGTTAATCAAGAACTGGAATCAACTCTTTGCTGTGTCACCACACAAAACCCAGCAACCTGGTCTTAATATCTCCCTTGGGTTTAGTATGCGCATAATTTACTTACCTCGTCTGCAACTGGTCTCTTGCCCTCTGAAGCTTCCCTAGGTTAGCAATCACCCCTGTTCCCGGAAGCCAAAGTTGATCTCACCGTTCCTTCCAAAACCACTTACAACGCTGTTGACGCATTTGGACCCTAACTTGGGAGGCAGTGCTAAGGGCCATCGATCAACAGGGTTGTCGATCGGACACTGACTCCCAAGTATGTACCAGGACAAAATGTATTGCTTACTGCCAAAGACATTCCCCTCAAATCACTCTCTTGCACATCATTCCAGGCTACGTCGGACTATATCAATTAGAAACCATCATCAGTCCCACCACAATTAAACCTAGACTCCTACATCCATGTGCATACATCTCGCATTCCACATCTCTCATCAAACCTGTGCACTCTGTTCCTCTGTCCTTTCCTCAGTATAGCTCCTTCCCCACCTCCCATCTAATCTCACTCTCCATCTGTTTCAGTGCTTTTCCAGCAAAGATTCCCGCTATGTTTCAGTGTTCCACTATCTTGAATTCCTGTGCACTCAAAAGCTTGTAAAGACTTATCCCTGTCTCAATTATGTCTGCATTTGGGTCCAATTCCACCTACTGAATACAGATGGTCAGTTAGCTGTTTTACAGCTACTCTTGGATAATTAAGTCACGCAAACTCGATAACAACACTGTTTCATTTTAGATGTAAATCAAATACAATACAATACTATATTCCAAAAATTTGGGACACTGTGTAAAATCTAAATAAAAACAGAATTTAATGATTTCCAAATTTCATAAACTCATATTTTATTCACAATAGAATGCAGAAAACATATCAAATGCTTAAAATGAGAACATGAGTGACATTTTAGAAAGAAAAAATACAGTAATTTTAAATTTGATGATAGCAATGCATCTTGAAGTTGGGATAGGACCAAGTTTAAAGAGTTTATTTGCTCTAAATGCTGTATATACCTTTTAGCATTGATAAAAGGTCTGTGTAACATACCAAGTCCATGCTAAACAAACCAGATACCTCCTTAGGTCAAGAGATGCAGGGTCCATGTTTTCCTAAACAAATTTGAAATTTTGATTCACCTGACCACAGTTCTCCATGTTCCCCCAGACCATATTGGATTAGTTTTTCTATGGCAGAGGTTTAACCTGCATTTGTGGATGGTATGGTAAACTCTTTTTACATACTGTGATTTCTGGATAAATATCAGAATGTCTGTTTTTTTAATGCAGTGCCGCCTGATCAGTATCCAAGATTGATTTTCACATTGTCCCTCGTGCACAGATATTTCTCCCATGATCTTTTAAGGACATTATATACTGTAAGTAATAAGACATCCATGTCTTTGCAATTTCACGTTGAGGACTATTAAGTCGACACTCTTCCACAATCTGTAGATGCAGCTTTCTGCAGACTGGCGAAGCTCCATTTCACTGTCACGTGACAGAAAAAGCTTGGAGAACACTGCCCGTCTTTACTTCTGAGAAATTCCGTCTGCCTTTTAATATCCAGTCATGTTACTGTCCTGGTGCCAGTTAACCTAATTAGTTGCAAAATGATCTTCAAGCTGTTCTATTTTTAGAAGCTCTTGCTTTCTAAGCCTTTAGAGTTAGTGTTTCCAACTTTTGATATGTATTGCTGCAATCAAATTCAAACAGAGCTAATGTTTTTCACAAAATAGAATATGTCTCTTTTTACTGTTTAGCAGCTAGAATCCTGTACCAGACATCCATGGGAGAGCTTTCCCCTCCCAAAGGTCCAGCAACTGCTCTCCTCAGAGTGTCGTTCAATACAGAGGGAATGAACTGGTCCATAAATAGCACTTTTTACTCTACTTGAGCCGTCAAAGTGCTTTAAACCACCAACTTTACTACTTTCTCAGCCACAGCCACCCCAATAGTTGATGTTACACAATGGTAAATGTGGCCCTCTCCCACTTTGTTATGATGTGTTGCTATCATCAATTTGAAAACTGCTTTATTGTCTTCTCTTCAGTTTGATAGAGTTTCTGTTTTCCATTGTGAATGACTAGGGGTTATGAGATTTTAATGTCGCTCCATTCTTCTCTTAAATTTACATTTTACACAATGTCCCAAATTTTCAAAAATTGGGGTTACATATAAAGATATGATGAAATAATTTCATGGTCTGAAATCAACACCACAAACAGTTTTCAAGGGGGGAGTCAACCATCTGATACCAATCAGGAGGAGCTGCATTTATTTAAGAAAAACAAAACAACGAACTGACACAAGCTGCTACATCCCACATAGCAAAATTGGTATTTCCCAGATCTGGCCCACATACTGCAAAGAATGACGGCCCTTTGGTGGCCCAGATCTGGTTTGCCAGAGGTGGCCCACACATGGGCCAGCACAAGGCCAGTTGCAGACACACTGGTGGTCCTGTGCTGGCCCAGAACAGTTTCAGCTCTGGCCCCAGATGTCAGCCTAATGTATACCTTAATAAAGACATGTAATAACAACATGTGCCGGAACATAATAGTGCAAAAGTAGCATGACGAAACTGTTGAGACAGTGAATGGACTGATTCTTATATAGCGCTTTTTTACTCTCCCAGATCACTCAAAGTACTCTATACAACATGCCACATTCACACACTTTCTCTAAACCGAGAGCTTCCTAATTGCATTCATTCACATTCACACTCTTGACATGCCGACTGGAGGAGCCAGGGATCGAACCACTAACCTTCCAATCAGTAGGTGACCTGCTCTACAGCCACCCAGTGGTAACCATGAGTAAACCCTTACTAGGTTTTGGATAAAGTGTACACTAACAAACCTGTCAAACCTGCATTTGAAACGTTGGCTACCATAGGAGTATAGTATTGCAACAAGGCATTTGGGTCTTCTAACTAAAATAGGAAAATAGGAACATAAATAGTGCCATCATTGGCAGACCTGGCTCCCATCTGGTTGACATACACCAGGTTATTACACCCTACCATGACACCAGTCAGTCAGAAGTGCCAGCTTGATGCCGAATCCGGGCCAGACCTGTTTCTATGAGCCTGGTTCACATAAACCAAACCACAATCGGGCCAGATGTAGCATGCCATCACATAAACAGTGCCATCTATGCCAGGCCTGGCCCATATCTGGATGACATACAACTTACCGTGCCAGAAGTCAGCCAGCAGTGCCGGCTTGACACTAGATCCGGGCCGGACCTGCTTGCTATGTGGGAAAGCTCCACTTTAGTTTAAAATAATTCTTGTATCATGCATCCAGTGAGAAGTGTCATAATTGTAAGTGGAACATAAGTGAAGACCTGCATTCAATACAGATTTCAAGTGTAGAGATGAAGTAATATTTAATAGTATTTACCAGTAATATTGAGAAGGCGTGGCAGGAAGCGATTCCAGAATGCGCACATCTGGTTTCGCAAACCTTTGTGAATCTTGAGTGATTCGGTGTTGAGGCCAACGTGTTTTTGCTCGCTGACGGTAAACACAGGCCAGCGTTTCCCTCTATCTCCCTGCGCGTCATTGGGATTTCTGATACAGACAGAACAAGAAAGGATATTACAATTACAACTAAATCAAACGAAAAAGCAGTAAAATGATCTCCAAACTAACTGTTAGATTCACAACAATTCTGCTTGCAGTCGATGTCAGTACTCATAGTACATCACTACTTCACGTTCCATTGCAGCATGGTGCAGAACAAAGCCATTTTGCTCAATGAGAAACAACTCAGATAATCATATCTGAGTTGTACGTGCTCACTAAGGATCACTAAATGAAAATGGACAGCACCACACAGAATAGTTGTTAGATAATTACAGTTGATTGTTGTTTTTTTTAATGTATTATTGTAGGGTCTGCCTTACAATATAAAGCACCTTGAGGTGACTGTTATTGTGATTTGGTGCTGTATAAATAAAACTGAATTGAATACAGGAAATGTCTGACAGTATTTCTTGCTGCAGTCATTCCAACAAGTACTGAATTATGTCTTCCAAGCTGATTAAATACTGATCACTCACTAAAATGCACATGAATTTGTAACTGTTACAGAATGTTTTGTTTTTGCTGACAGTTTATGCTACTATTAAAACAAATTGTAGCTTTTTCAATTCTTTGTAACTGGATACAATTTCAAAATGAGATCAAATAATTTAATTTCCCCCACTGTGTACCTCACAGCTTTAACATTTACTTATTAAAGCCTTTCCTTCAAGCCAAGTAGCATGAGGGTTAACTGCCAGGAGAAGCTCTCTGTGCCTCCAAATTCATGTCAAGACTCATTAACCTGCAGGAATTAAAGGGCTGCTTACTCATACAGCTTTTCCTGCATTCTTTATTTTGACTGAAAAACATGGCTGCTGAGGTGCATTTGCATAAAAAAAACTGGACATGGACCCTAATTCCATAGGTAGTTTTTTTTTTGTGGCCTCACCCAGTCCGAGCAAAGTTGGCCCAATATTTCATCATACGTCGGCTTAGCTTCTCCTCATCTCGGGTGTAGTTGAGTCTCTTCACCAGTGGCAGCCCGAAAACAAATTCAATCTCATAGCCATGGATCACCCCCATCCATTCTGGCCAGGCCAGATTGGATGCCCGGTGATCGAAAAGGTAAAGATACATCCCTCCTTAAGAAATAAATGGTGGAAGAACAATTATAAATAATTAATCATCATTATTATTTCATGTTTACTCTGAAACTACAGATATGTTACAAAAGTTAAAAAATAAATCATTTTTCCAACTAGAATATTTTACTGATCTATCATCAGAGTATCAACAGTTTTGCTTACATGACAAATGCAGATTAAATTGTTGCAAAGTTGTCCTGCACATTATAGCATATTTTAAATAGCTATCATCTGCATTAAAAAGTGAAAACGTGAAATTTAACGCACAATTTAATTTAAGTATCGTACCAAATTGTTCTATCAACAGAAAGCAGGTAATTCAAACAGTGGTGTGTCTGGGTATGGGATATATATACTTCTAGGTCTGACAGACCACACTAACTAGGGTATCCTACCTTGTGAGTTTCCACTGTTCACCCCACCAAAGTTGATGCCCCCCATGTTAGCCTTGAGGGCATTGTGTTGTGCATAGGAGCGAGCGAAGTGGGCCAGCGGGCAGATGACGTTGTGGTCACCGACAATGTCATCCATGGCATCACGGTTTTTTATCTCATTATTCTCATCCATCCAGTCGGTGTACTGCAGCACCACTGCTTCCAGGCCGATATCATTAGCATGAGGTACGCTCAACCTAACACCTGGAAGAGTGACACTGAAGTTTTTAACAAGATAGAAGTAAAACTGTGCCGTAATAACCTGAAGTAGGATTAACTTGAATTTTTTGGATGGATTTATACAAGTCTTTCTGCTCAGTTACATTTATCCATCCAAAAAATAAACATGATTTTGGAGAACTTACTTTCCAGGAAGTCCTCTCTGGAGATCAGACTGTCGTTGTCCTTGCTGAAGCCTGGTGCTCCATACAGCAGGAAGTAGGAGCCTTCATTCTGATTAACGCCGAGGAGAATCTGCGTGTCTTTAAAGTTCCCTGAGTTGAGCATGGCCTCAGGAGTGTCGGGCAGAAACTCACCATCCACAACAGGCACAAAGGAAAATCGAAACAGAGCGGACCATGGCAGAACCTGCATGGATGACAAACCCACATGGGACTGTGAAATAATGCAACACTGAACACTAAGAAGTGCTACTTCCTACTCCAGAACCAAGCTACTCCTTTTGTGTGACTTTTACATACTGGTACTGGGGCTGCAACGATTCGTCAACATGACGTCGATTATAACGATTTGGCGACAGGGAGATTCAAACAAATGTGGAAGCATGTAACAGCAAACAAAGTTAAATGCAGACTGTGCAAATCAGAGCTTTCCTTCCATGACAGCACTGATGCAGTGCACGAGCATTTAAAACGCTGGCACGCTGGAGCTGCGATGTCCACTCCAAATGGGTTAGTTTTATGAAGTTAGTGGGTTGCATTGACACGTTGTTTATATGAATGTTTTTACAGTAATGTTTACATTAGCTGTCAGAAACTTCTCAGGATGAAACACTTTAATATTGTAGTAAACCTCTTCCACCTAATGTTAGGTAGTTAATCTGTGGATTGGATTATATCAATAATTAACTGCTGAACACGACACCATCTGAGAAACTATAATCTATAACCAAATATGTGATGAGCGACGGTCTTTTCTAAATCTGTTTTGTTGGTAAATGATCGTGATGAACATGTTCAGAGTAATTGTGGATTCATGAACTGAATCATCTGTAAACTTTGTTAACCCTGTCAGACCCAACCCATCAAAAAATAGAAAGAAAATTCATGTTTATTAACCCTTAAAACAAAATCCACATTTTTTTGCTATATAAGATAAGATAAGATAACCTTTATTAGTCCCACACGTGGGAAATTTGTTTTGTCACAGCAGGAAGTGGACAGTGCAAAAGTTATGAAGCAAAAATTAGAATACAATAAGAATAAATACAGTACACAACTGTACAGAATAGAATAAAATAAAATACTATATACAGTAGAATAAAATATACAATAAGATAAAAATAGAATACAAATGCTATATACAACTGAATAAAAATACAACGATGCCAGAAAAGATTATTATCGTGTTGTGTATGACATATATTTATTATATATTTTTTGTATCGCATTTAATACATTGGGCATTTTTGGCAACAATGTTAATTTTAGCCAAAAAAGAGTTTTGTCCATAACATTTTGAAATTATGGGAAGTGTTGATCATGTTGATGAGACAGAGGTCTCAGAAACTTATAGCATTACAGGGTTAACTTGTTATTTTGGACTAGAAAGCAAATTAGTTTCCTATTTGCACATTATTTTGTATTTAAATACTAATAGCACTTTAATTTGTATAACTAATATTTTTATTTATATGATTTTTATTCTGAAAGTCCTATTGAGTCCTTTTAAAAATACATTTGATTATTTTCAAATTCATGTGTTTCATTATTTTCTGTGGAACGAGACAGCAGAGTGGGCAGATTTGAGCAGGTGAGGACTGAAGACTAGAACAGGTTTGCCCACAGCACTGTGACAGTTAATAATTGCTGGCTAACCGACTAATGGAAGCAAAACTGGCAGATTTTTCAACTACCAAGATAATCATTAGTTGCAGCCCTGACTGATACAGGTACATACTGGCATGGTCCCTCTGTCCTCGTTAGTCTGACCTCCCATTTCGGTCTTCAGTTACTGAAACACGGCTCCTTATATCCGTGTTTGTGCAACTTGGCTTTGAATGAGAAAAACTTACTAACTACATCCCTTTGGTTGGAGAAGCCCGTGCTGGAGAGCAGTGGGCTGTTTTGTGTTCTTGGGAACACTCTCCTGAACTGTTTGAGAGAGTCTTGCGTTTGAGTCCGGTCTGATTTTGATCCTTAACAACATATTGTGCACTTAGTAGGAACCACAGGTAATAAACCATGTCATTGCATCTCAGAACTAGTGGTTTGAATTTAAAAAAACATCAAACTGAAAATAAGTCTCTCGTCCACGTTGCAACACGATAAGTCAAGCAGAATTTGTGTAAATTACCTGCCACTCATGATCGATAAGTTGCTGTGGAGTTTTACCGCGCAGACAATCTATTATCTCGGTGTCATTGCCTCCGTTGCAACCGACGAACTTTGCTAGCTGTGTGGCACGTCTGCGCGCTTCAGCGGGACTCACTGAGGCCCAGGGGCAGTTGGGGACCCCACTCTGGAGGATGGCTCTAGTGAAAGTGGGTCGGCTGTCTGGAGACAGCAGGTGGAATCCTACTGAAGCTCCGCCAGCACTCTCGCCAAAGATCGTAACCTGTTTCACAGAGAGAACAAACAGAAAACTAAATCAAAACAGGCTCATAATAATTCTAGCATAAAAGAGGCTAGACAAATAAAGCAATGAGAAACACACCTGTTTAGGGTTTCCACCAAAGAAATGGATGTTGTCTTGTACCCACTGCAGCGCCATCCTCTGGTCAAGGAGGCCGACATTGCCAGGAGCCTCGGAGGAGCCATGCAGAGCCAGGAAGCCGAAAGCACCGATCCGGTAGTTCATCGAAACCACAATGACTGTCTCGCTGTGAGCTAGGTAACGACCATCATACACATCCAGAGAGGAAGATCCACTGTAGAAGCCTGGAAACGTGGAATATCACAACACGGCATTAACCTACAATATTAGAGCGTACTACAACAATTCATCACTGTTATTCAAGACGTTTAATGATTAGAATTCCAGCGTAATATCCTCAATCCTTCTACATAAAAAATAATCTGACAGACGATGAATTTTCTAATGTAATATATCAGGAATGGCTAACCCAGTGCTCCAATGACAATTGGAGTGAGATTCCCAGTATGGTTTATGAATTCTTAAGTACCTTCACCTAGGGGTGGGCGATATAAACGATATACGATAGAAACAATATAAATTTGGCCAACAATAGAGATTTTGACTATATCGCTCTATCGCGATAGCGCATGTTGATGATGTCATCAAGCTGCGCCTGTTTTGGTCGAAAGCATCGCAGCAGCTAAAACCATTATCATCTGCAAATTATGTTGGGCGACAGTCAAACCAAAGAGATGAAGCACTTTTGAAATATGGGGAAAGCCAAAAACTGCGCTTCCTCCACTTAACGTAACATTGATTCATTAATGTTGAATTCTCTCGCAGCTGCTCTATTCCCATGTTGTTGCAGTATATTAATAACTAACCTCGTATTGTGGATGGATAATCTCAGTTGTTCTCCTGACTGAAGTTTGCCCCGTGTGTAACATCCTGCTATGCGATTGCATTTGTCTCTAACCACCAGAATCCCTCACGTTAACTTTTATC